CGTTCAAGTTTCACTTTCCTTCTGCTATTTAAATGGCCATGAAATCCAATCCTTCCCGAAGGGGACGGGCTGCATAGCTTCGTACAGTCCGGAGCACATGTTTGATGCAATTAGCTGTGGTGGCTGGGGTTGTGCCTGGTCAGGATGGAGAGCACCGGGGCAGAGCAGGTGCTTAGCTGGTTTGTACCGCTAGCCCTGACATTTGTTTTCAGTATGTTCTGAAATTCTTTGTGTGCAACCCATTGTGTGCTGTATCACTGTGGCCTTATTCATCTAAATTCAAGTATGTAAGCAAAAATAATTTCCATATGGATGCTGTAGTCCTGCTGGAGAATTTGCACAGCTTTAGATGTGTGACTAGAGGATTAATTTAGAAGGGTTTTGTTTCTGTTGTCAGGCAGCAATGAACAGATACAAATTCTGCAGCTCTTTCAAACTTACCTCTCCACATTTAATCAGTAGACCTTGTATCCATGCACTAATGGATACAAGGCCTACTGATTAATCTTTTATTAAAAAAAAAATCTTTTATTTAAAAAAAATACTTCCACAGAATCTGGTTTTACCAAATTTCCTATTAAGTAGCTCTGAGAAGTTTCTTTGCAGATAACTAACAGAGGAAATTTGGAAGCATTCCAAGTCTCTATTCTGGAAAGTTGACTTGCAAGTCAGCAGAAAATTCAGTAAATAGCTTTGTCCCTTGCTCCACCATCTCAGTATTATGGAAAGCAGTAAACTAAAATTAAAATTTTCTTCAAAACTTTAAACCTGAAATCTTTCTGATCAGTTATCCAGCTTTCCTTGGATTTCTCTGACTAGCTAAATACCTTCCTCCCCACCCAAGCCCTGAATATTACTTTTAGTAAGTATCAGGCATATGTGGTTTCATCTCGGCTCTTTCTTAGTTATAAACTTGAAAAGCAACATAGAAACATCCTTTCTCCTTTCTTTGTGAGTACACTGAAACCATTCTGATAGAATGCTTACCTAGTGCAATATTTTATCTGAGAGTAATGTCTACTGATGTAATTTTAATCTTCATGTTGCAACACTGTTTATAAAAAAAACCCTCTTTGATTTATGTGAAAAGTCACTGCAATCATTGTGAGTACCTGCTCAGAGGTCTGATCCCAGCATTTGTCCTGACTCACTTTGCCCAAGTTATAAAAGGTATGTAATGAAGCAGCTAAATAAAGTCAGATTTATTGGGATATATACTTTTTTTACATGTAATCAGAATTGAGAAATCATTTACTACTGTGTTTTTAGTGTGAATTTACTCCTCCCTATCTTCCTAAAAATACTATTTATTTGCATTTATGTTCAAACACTAATAAAAACAAAATCATAACTATCTTTTGAGATGAATGAGTTGTAAGAATGGCAACAGATCTTTTCAGCTCAAAAGGAAGACCAAAGAAACAAGCAAAAATGGTGTCATGTGTCACCTGTCACCTGTAAAAATCTTCCACTTGAGACCTGGAACATTTTACCATTTAATGAGATTAGTAGGGATTTATTTGTCCAAGTCTGCTGTTAGTGATTACTTTTCTCCTAGACGTTATACCTTCCTTCAAATTCAGTTGTTTATTTGTATTGCCTTCACAGAGTATCTTTGATCAAGAGAAATTTTAGAGTGGCTGTTCTAGGACCTCAAAATGTTCAAACTGTATAAATAATTCCAAAGGAGTAATGCTCAGCAGTTACATCTGCAGTCAAAGGTCATTATTTATTCCAAAAGAGGACTGCATTGCATAATAATGGCACAATATAGTCCTATTTATAGGACTATAAATAAAGCTTTTGTAAGTGACCAAATTATTTGTAATGGCTGTGTACACAATATAGATTTTTTGGTAAATGTTAGCCCACATTCAGATTATTAGTGGGCATTGTACACTATTAGTGTGTTTCTGCCAGGCACTTAATTCTTTTTCTCAAATGGTTTCTGTATGGAACACATTTAAAACTCTTACTCATGATTTTTCATAAGTACTTCTGGTTTCTTTCCACCTTCTGTATTTCTTGTTTCTCTTAAATCTCCTCATATGTACTAAGGATATATATTCAAGCTCCACTTGAAACAATCCTAGGAAAAAAGAAAAAGACTAGAAGGAAGATTGGTGGTGTGATTTAACCCCAGCCAGAAACTAAGCACTATGCAGCTACTCACTCACTTCCTGAGAGGGGGAGAACTCAAAAAATGGTAAAACATATGGGTTAAGAACAGTTTGATAAACAAAATGAAGTAAAATACAGTGCATAAACAAAATGAAGTAAAATACAGTGCAATAATAGTAATTAAAAGCGAGGTAACAAAAAAAGAGGAGTAAAACCCAAAAAAAACAAGTGATGCACAAGACAATTGCTGACCACCTTCTGACCAAACTCCAGCCCATCCCTGAGCAGCAATTGGCCCCTCGTGACTAAATCCTCTGATTTAATTTAATTAGCATGATGTTGTATGGTATGGAATATCCCTTTGTCAGCTGTCCTGGCTATGCTCCCTCCCAGCTTCTTTTGTGTCTCTGTGTTGGCAGAGTATGAGAGAATGAAAAGTCCTTGGCTGAGGGTGAACACTCTTGGGCAACAGCTGAAACATCAGTGTTATCAGCGTGATTCTCCTACTAAACCCAAAATGCAACACTCTACCAGATATTAGGAAGAAAATTAACTCTTATCTCAGCCAGGAACTTGACAACCTGCTTTTTCAAGCCAGTAGTAAGGATGGATAAGTACAGGGGAAAAAAATTCTTTATTGTATTTAATTAAGATGACTCAATGCATTTAAATATCTAAGAATGGAACTTGGGAAATATCTTTGTGTTACACTATGAGTGATCAGAGGATTTGGACTCTCTCAAACTATTTTTTGAACACTGTTGATTTTGGGAGCCGTATATCCTACTGTGACACTGGGGAGGGGTTATCTTTCAGGGCTACCAGTTTGGAAGAAGAGGAAGGGAACTCCTGTGTCCCAATGAGAACATGCAGTTAACTACTTTTAGGGTGGTATTTGTGTGTTGTGTCTGACTTACCCATTAAGATCTGTAGTCAAACTATTACCAGTAGCAGCTGGGTGCTCACTCTGGGGTCACAGTACTCCAGGCAAGACCTCATCAGCCCTGAATCAATGGAAAGTTACTTCATATGTTTGAAGCGTGCCAGTGCCCTCCATACTTGTCAGCACAATGTTTGCTTTTTTGCAATAGTGCAACACTGTTAACTCCTGCTGGGCTTGTGATCCAGTATAACCCCAGGTCCTTTTTTGTGGGGATAGAGGTTGGGTGAGTTCATTGGGAGAGACTTTTAAGATCACTGAGTCCAACTGTTAACCCAGCACTGCCAAGTCCAACATTAAACCATGGCCCTAAGTGACACGCCTACACCACTTTTAAATGCCTCCAGGGACAGTGACTAAATAAATGATGGAGATGCTCCTTTAACCCTTCTTTTGCTGCTCATGTATTTATAGAAACATTTGTTCCTGTACATTTGTTTACTGAGTTACAAATTTTTATTGAGTTATAAATTTTTTTGTTGGGTTGGCAATACCAAGTCAAATTTGGCAGGGACAGAGGTTAGTTTTAAAAAAGATTAATTGTTTCATGATCTACAAACTAATTGAAGCATTTTAAAGTCTCTGTAACATAAACATTTTACAGCAGTGGGTAGTATTCCAGACTTGTGCTAGGTAATTTGAAAATGAAGTTGAATTTTTCATCATTGGGACGTATGTTTTTAGTTAGGCTGAAGGAGAAGCAAAAAATGAACTGTATAAGCAGTATGAGGTTATTGTTTAATAATGATTTTTTTATTATCTTGAAGAGATTTTTATAACACAAAGGTGGTTTTTGAAAAAGATATACTTCAAAGTAGACAATGCACTCCTGAAGTTAAGAGCAGAATCTAGCAGAAGGTTTGAAATGTCCAAGTACCAACACTGAGCGCTGCCAGCCTGCCTGTCCCTGCCCACACTCCCAGGGCTCCCGCCCACCCTGCCATGGTTCAATACCCCATATCAGCTCTCAGGGTCATCGATCACTGCCCCAGCAGCACCACATCCTTACCTGGGCCTGGCCATGGGCCCCGCTGTCCTGGACCCTGACCGCCTGTGGGCTGACTTGCCAGCCTGGCCTCCACAGCCTCGTCACTACAGAGTCACTCAGCAGTCAGGAGGCTGTCCCTGACCACTCATGGGCTGACTTGCCAGCCTGGCCTCCACAGCCTCGTCACTACAGAGTCACTCAGCAGTCATGAGGCTGTTCCTGACCCTGGTTACCCTCACTGGGCTGACCCCACTTGACATCCTCAGACCAGCCTCAGCAGCACAGCACACGTGGACAGGGCTGCCTTTGGCTGCTCCAGCCTGCCCTCCTCCTTCAGTGGGGGTGGTGGGACGAGCCACAACTGGTGACACCTTGCCTGCCTTGCTGGCCCAAACAAGGACCCCAGCACACACCGCACCCAGGCCAGAAGATGGGTCTTCTCACAGATGAGGAGTGCAGTGCTAGGAGGTGGCAGTAGCAAGGTGCACCCAGAGAACATTAGGCTTAAGCACATTTTCAAGCAGAAGGGTGGTGAGCACTCAAGCGGGCTGCCAAGAGAGGTTGAAGAGTTTCATGCCTGCAGCATTTCAAAACTTGACGAGGCTGTGAACAATCCAGCTTTGAAAGTCAGTCTGTTGACAGCAGAAAGTTGGTCCAGATGAACTTCAGACATCCTATCCAACGTGGAGTGTTACATGATTCTGCAGGTAGTACACAGCTGAGAGTGACAAATTCTCTGAAAATGCAGGCATTTTTATAGGAATTTCATTAGAGCCACAAAAGGCTGTTCCTCCTCATGAATTCACCAGCTTTCTGACTCTCCTTCTACTAAGGTTTATAGCTGTTTGACCAGTGGGATTTTTACTCAGAACTTGCTCATTAGAGCCACAAAAGGCTGTTCCTCCTCATGAATTCACCAGCTTTCTTTGATCTCGCTCTTCAGTTTCTAACTCTCCTTCTACTAAGGCTTATAGCTGTTTGACCAGTGGGATTTTTATTCAGAACTTGATTCATACCTCTCACACTTTATCCCTTTTTGTTAAGAGCTTTATCCTACATGCATTAAATTTAGTTAAACTGTTGAACTTCAACAACTGGTAGTAAGTATCCTAAGACTGCACAATCCTAAGATTTTGGAATCCCTTGCTGGGTTCATAGAAATACTAAAATTATTTCAGCCTGCTACATACATAATATATATAAAAATCAATAAAACAGTAAGAATGCCTGATACAATTTCTGTTAGTCAACATTCCATTTTCCAGGTGTCACAGTAAAAAAGCCATGCCTGGCCCATCTTGGAGATGTTGAAGCACTGTGAGAAAATGTCCACATATGCATGGTACCATTAGGAACTTCCAGCACTTCTCAAGTCAGATGTAAATTAGGACGAGACATATAGAAGTAGTTACATATCTACATAGCCACTCACTTATGCTTCACAGTAGGCATACGGGAGTAGAATGAGACTTCAATTTTCCCACATGCCAGTGTTAACATTTTGACTGGTAGACCATGTCCTTATTATAGTAAATCTAGCACAAGGCAATTAAAATATGCATGCAGCAGTGCAGCATGTTCTCAGAAGATATTCTGGCTGTTTCAAGAAGATTAAATAATGCTCAAAATAAGCATCTAACCATTTTTCAGTGTTTGTCATAATAGTGCCATTTTCTAAGGGTTTTTCTATTTCTACAAAAAATACACCAAAACTATAGAGGCCCAACTATTCACTTGTTGTCTTTTAATCTCACAAGAACAAAACTAATGTGAGGAATAATAGATTTCAAAGGTGATTTAAAATGCCAGTATTTTGAATATACAGACACTCTGGAGTGACTTAAATGACCTACATGAAGGCGTGAAAACTCACATTCCCTCTCTTCAAACTGTTTAAAATCAAGCAAATCTTCCTTGAAATACCCTGTTAAAATTAATTTCCTGAATTGGCTGGGAATCAGGAATGTAAAATATTTCTAGATTCCAAAGCCTGCTTATCTGAAGGATAGGAAATCTTGATAGTGTTATCTTTTCATCACTAATGCAAATGCCTATATTTAACATTGCATGTAGTTTTAGAAATTTAGATGTGCACATTTATTTCCATCTTAAATATTTTGTAGAAGAATGTTTCAGATTAGGAGAATTAAAAATTTTTAGACTGTTTGGTTAACTGTCTCAGAACAAATTTTTCTTGGCTTCATTTTAGTTGCGCTAACACTGAATTTAGAACTGAAGATTTTTGAATGCCAGAATTAAATAACTATGACTTTATGGTATGATTTGTACCATAATGCTGGGAGTTCACTGTCTTGCTAGGAATAATAGGATTTAGAAAAAGGCCCCAAACAGCACTTTTACTTAAATTGCTGTATCAGATCTATGTTCCAGCAATGAGTGGAAAATCTGTGAGACTCCTTCCATTGTTTATAAAAAGAGGGTGAATTCTTTCAGCTCTGCAAATTACAGACAAAATTTCAAACAACTTCAGCACCTTTGGGATAATTTTGGAATAGTATTAGCAAGTGCACTTCCATTGTTTGCTTCCATGGTTACGTCTGGCACAGGAATTTTAACAGTTTAGCAACAGACAAATGCTCAGAAATTTTCCTCTTTTAACTTCTTCATATCCTATACACAGGAGCCCATGAAGGGCTTTTTCTTTTCCACGTGCTAATTACCATAAATATTTGAAGATTGTTCTACAAACTCTGTTTTGTTTTCCAAATCATTAACAATGTTAAAAACAAACCTCTGACAAAAATGTTTACAGAAGATCAAACACAAGTCCTAGTTCACCAGAAACTCTTCCCTATGCAAAAGGAACTGTGTGGGGTCCTTAACATGCTGTTCACTTGCCAAAGCATGAGAGGTTTAGCACATGAGATTCCAGTGCCTAGGTTTTTTATGTACAAATCATTTAGACAAGACCAATTAAAAGTTAAAAATCAGTTGAATCATCAGGGAAGAAGGATGAGGCGGTACTTTTTGAGGTGGAGAATTGCCACTCTGCTTTAACAGGAGGCTGTAAAGACTAGGTAAAGGAATCATGAGCATCAATGGCAATGATGCTTGGTTTGCAATAACTTGTAAAAGGCCTAGATAGCTTCAGCATGAGTACAAAACACAAGGGGAAAAGAAATATCATGGAATGGCCTGGGCCAGAAGGGATCTTAAAGATCATCTGGTTTCAGCCTTCTGCAGTGGGCAGGGACAGCTCCCACTAGAAGAGGTTGCTCAAAGCCACATCCAACGTGGCCTAGAGCATTTCCAAGGATGGGACATCCACAGCTTCTCTGGGCAACCTGTTCCAGTGCCTCACCATCTTCATAGTGAATAAATTCTTCCTGGTAGCTAATCTAAACCTGAAAGAGATCAGTCTAAAGCCATTCCTCCTTGTCCCATCACTACATGACCTTGTAAAAAATTCCTCTCCATCTTCCTTGTAGGTACTGGTCTTCCCAGAGCCTTCTCTTCTCCAGGCTGAACAATTCCAGCTCTCTCAGCCTGTCTCCATAGTGCAAAGCCCAGGATGTGGTTGCCTGTCTGGTCTGCAAGTACACTTTCACAGCTCATGTTGAGATTCTTGTCGACCAAACCCCCAAGTCTTCCTTCCCAGGACTGCTTTCAATCCTTTCTCCACCCAGCCTGCATTTGTACTCAGGATTGTCTGGCCCAGGTGCAGTGATACGGTTAGGGTTGCACTTGGCCTTGTTGAATTTCAGGAGGTCCCCATAGGCTTGTCTCTCAAGATTGTCCAGGTCCATCTGGATGACATTCCTTCCCACTAGTGTGTCAACCATACCACACAGCTTTGTGCCACTGGGAAACCTGTTGAGGGTGCACTCGATCCCACTGATTATCATTTTACCAACATCTGAAAGAGAACACTCAAGTAATGGCTTAGAGTTCATGCTTCACTAGAGCATAAAGAAGAGTGTTTCTCTTCCACCACTTTTAAGATTATTCTTACCTCATGATTATTCAGGTAGTAGCAGTCAGTGTCCCATGAACTTATTCACTGATAGATCTGTTCCCCTTGTCATCCAAAGAGTCTTTCTGTACAGCTCTATGGATGCCCTCAAAGGTCTGGAGACTATAGTTTTAATACAGTTGTTCTGCATAAATTCTTAATATGAAGCTGACAAGCATCTAAAAAAGATTTCTACTGAGATAACAATAACTTCCCATACTAAAACCCCAAAAGGATGCTGTATTTCTAAGACAATATTTTGAAGATGAACTAACCTGGTCATTTTGAAGTTTGACAATGTTTTTCAAATAGCATCATGTCCTTTTACATAGTTAAGATTATTTCTTCTGACCTCAGTTTTTGAAAATGTCCAATGTTATTTTCTGGTGTGCAAAAGAAAAGAAATAACAGAGGCTTTGTTTAAACAGCAGCTTTTCTGGTTTCAAGTGGTCATGTAAAAGACAATTCACCATTACTGTGGATTTGCAGTTACAGGACAAGAATGACAGAGTTTCAGAAATAATGTGGCGTTGTTGCCTGTGCATAGCAATTAGTTGGTGGCCTACTTCAGATAAGAGTTTCAGTGTCTTATAAAATGTCCAGAGAATAGCTGTCCTAGTTAATATAATTGACTGCAAGGAACAGTTGAAGGGCATGGTTTATTTATTTGAGGAAACACTATCCAAAAATTAAACAAATTTGGGCAATAAATAAGCTGTAGCGAGAAATATGAATAAATTACAAATTTTAGAAATAGACTAATAAAAACACCACTGCACAGCATTAAATGTCTTACCTGGCAAATAGTCAGGTGTCTTCTTGCTTAAGTTTGTGAGCTGTTTTATTGATTCATACTTGTAAGAAGAGACTTCTTGAAAAAAAAACATTACTCAAAATGTGTTTAAGTGTTTATGTACAATAAATGAATATGTAAATAAACATATCACTACTTGTTGTTCTATCGTACCATTACCGCTTGTACAGTCCTTATAATTTTTCTCGTGAATGCTCACACCACAGGTTTCCCTTATGGCTTTACCCAAAACCTCTAAATCTCCTTTAAAAAGAGGATGTTGTTGATTTTCAGCAAATCCCACTTCTATACAGCCCATGCAGTCTGTGCTGCGACTTGCCTCTAAAGGAAGGCACTGCTGGGAGAAGTACAACAGCTATGATGACTCAGAGGCCTCTTTCCTAAGTGGTGCTAAGTAAATTAAAGTAATCCATTGTGTATGTTTAATATTTGGATTGAATATAATCTGCCATTTCGTTACTCACTCATTTACTCTTGAAAGGACTTTTGAAACTGCATCTCACTTTGCCTCCCTCCCTCCCTGCAGCTGTAAGCATGCAGTCAGACTTTCTTTTGCCAAGCTCTGTTTGGCAATGAAGATAAGTTTCATGAGTCAGAAAATACAAGACTTTCTCAAAATCCTTTTCTGTATGGAAAAGTTCTTCTCTGAACTTGCCCTGACAGTGCAAAAATGCTGCAGGTGACATTATTTATGGTAACTGAACTAATGGTGGTATTAGTAATAGAAGAGCATAGTAATACTCACACTATGTTCCCTACATATTGTGAGTTCCCTGTTCTCTGAAAGCCCGTTCTTGGTTTACTTCTGATGCCTGTAATCTGTGGCCAAACCAAAGAACCTCTATTACCCCAAGAGTTCTAATGTTTGGCCAGCACTAACCAGGCCTGCAGGAGATGGATACAGTGTGCACATAGCTGTACTGTGGAGCACTGCTGCAATTTACTGCTGCACTGCTCAGCTGCTCAGATGTGTGAACCAACTTGACACTTAAAAGCATAATGATGATTCTACTGTACTGTGCTAATTCTGCACAGTACAGTAGGATGGTCTGCAGAGAGGCAGTTATGAATTTATTGTGGCTGTCCATGAAGTGGTTGTCATATTCATGCCCTGGATGCTGCAACCTCACTAGGTGCTTATTCCACCATAAATTTACCAGCAGGAATAGATGACAACAGCTTAGTAGTTAATGCTCTGGCAGAAACTGAAAAAAAGCAAATAGAAAACCAAACATTAGGGGTTTTGACAAATACCTTCAAATATGTCTGCTTGGAGGATGAGGAGGGGCAACAGTCTTCTAGCAATGCAGGCCTGTCCCAAAACAAGTCCAGTCATTGTGGCACAATGAATGTGGGCTATGTTCCCAGAAATCACAGTGTGGTGGAGGTACCATTTGCACAAGGTTTAGTATCCATTTATCCTTGGTAATTCAGGCCTGCAGGTAGTGGATTGGACATGAGGAAATTAAAAAAAAAAAAAAAAAAAAAAAAAAAAAAAAAAAAAAAAGGGGGGCTATGTGGAACTGTTAGCATATATTAAAGAGAAATGTCAGAATTCTTTATCACAGGAAATAGTGCTTCTCCATCATAACGTGACAGATCTTGCCTCATTAAACAGCCACCTAAAGGTGGTGGGCTTTTTCCCCCTTTTGTTACTAGAATTTAAAAAAAAAATTACTTGCCTCCAGTGCAAAAGTCCTCAATTCTTTTCCACTGTGTGATGTAAATACACCATTAACTAGTGAAATATAGGTGGACTGGAAAAGAGTTTTGCAGAAGGCAGAAGATAATGGTCCACACTGTGCTTCCATAAAGGAGGTAACTGATTAGGCAGCATCTTTCTGTAACTTTTCTTGTAACTGACTATAGTCAGTTTCCTTGTAATGAAATGACACTGCTGCCTTGCTTTACTTCTCTGGTCATATGTGCCTCAAAACCGAGCTACTTTGATCTCTTTCCTGCTAGAAATTATTTATTCTGACTGAGTCAGAATCCAGTGAGCGTTTTAGACCCCAAAGGAATTGTTTGTTCTAAGAATTAGCTATGTGGGATGTGCAGTGAGTCCAGACTCAGAGCCTTGAACAGATTGTTCAGCTGAAAGGGGGAGGGTAACTTCCTTACAGTACAAGATATCAATTTTAACTTCTCTTTAAAAGATAATTCGAATAGTATAACATGGTTGCTCTCAGGCCAGATGTTGGTATGGTCAGTTTTAGCTACAAGGTCACACACTGTGGTTGGGGCAGGCACAGAATCTGTGAGAAATGTAATCTCCCTCTCAGAAAAGCACCACTGTAATCACTGTGTCCTAACAAGCATGACAGTGCCAAGGTGCACTGAGAGTATGTTCAATTACACATAGCATTTGCACAACATTTAATCTACAAACTATTTTGTAAAGACTAAGTGAATAATCTTCAAGCCACCTACCTGGAAACATGCTGCACTTTTTTACTTTCATTTGGCAAAGCACTATGCTGAGTGAGTACCCTGAATCTCCTTTGGTTTCCAGAATAAGCCTATGGCTTTTCTAGAGCTGTGCCTTTAAATGATTTAGCAGCTTTCAAATACACATAGTTGGTGTATATGTAAAGACATAGTCCCTTCCCCTCTGAGTTTTAAATCTGAGGTCCTTGTCCAGCAAACATTTCTCTGCATATTATATTTTTATATGTGTGAGAGGTTCACATTAAACTTCCACTGGGAAATATTTACAGAAAGACCACACCTGCTGAGCTTCAGCCTTTTGGCAAGTGCACTATAGAGGCCTAATGGGAATTCATGGAGAAGAAAGGTTGCCTGCATTTTAAAAGGGTGTGAACCCTCCAAGTTCTGAAGCTATGTGCGAGTTTATATTTAGATAACCTGAAAGCTCTGCCTATAAATTGTCAAGGAGAATTAATGACTAGTGCATGTGCAGTATATCAAACATGTGGTGTCTCAGCCACTATTTTCATATGCACCAAAGTACATGTGTGTTCATTACTGATAGCTGTATACAATAAGACATGTTTAAAGCTTAAAAAGACACATTATTTGAATGTATCTGAATGCAGAAACCAGTGACTCACTTTATTTAATAGCTGGGAAGCACTTTTTGTGTTCCAGCAAGTATTTCTAAAGGGGTTTGTGAATCAAGCAGTCCTGAGACAGTTTATCCTAGAATACAATACTGATGTTTAAAATAAATAAAATGCAAGTTCTATCTCAGCCATGGCTTCAGTTTCTGATTTTTTTTCCCTTGGCCACATTTTTTTTCAGGAACTCTACTGTAATGTATTTTTAAGAAGCTATGTCATGTTTTACAAAAGAAAAACATTATATATGAAGAATATATCCTTTATCTTGCCTGTGGACTCCATGCTACAGCTGTAAATCTCACATTTCTTCTTTGTTGCTTATTTCTGATGAGAGACAGTATGAAGACATCAATGGCTTTGGAATGTGTGTATTATTTATTTATGTCCCAAAGTTGTTAGCAGTTGTCTTAATAAGACTGAATGCTCTGCAGCTCTTGCCAGTCTTGCAGTAGCTCTCAGTCCCCTTTCCCTTCTCACCCCAAGTCCCTTAGTAAGTCTATTATTTAATCTGGAGTTAAGGTACAGCATGTCTCATAGTTTTAGCTCCTGAATCTTCTCCCTTACACCTAGAGATGGTATTCATATGAATTTGTAGCATGACGAGCCTTTCCTGTAGTCTCTAAAAATATGTTTGCTATCTCAAAATACTTTCTCTCAAATGGTGATGCAGATTCCTGGACCACAGTTTAACTCAAGATGGATTAAAAGACTGCATGAAGTGAAGACTTTAAATCTGCCATTATATTTAGCTTCTTTTTTTTTCACCACTGGTAAGTGAACCATGTGTTGTAACAGCCTGCTCATTTCTAAAGAGCAGTGATGCTGTCTCCTGCAGAGGCTGCTTTACTATGAACTCCCTCCTGCAAGATGCTGAGCACTCTGGCTCTCATTCATCCAAGTCTTTAGATACTGAGCTGCTGGACTAAGGTCAGTGGTAACAGTTTTCAGGATATAGCTTTGTTCCAAGAAGCATTGTTCATCGTTTACTCCTGTCAGAGGATGGGTTCTAAATAAGGGAAATAATCTTGTCTTTCTGTTTTGTTTTTCTAGCAGAAGAGAGATATTAACCTAGATTGGAGGACTTGAAAATCAGCTCAACTTACAATATTCCATCCACTTAGCTCTGTAATGATGTTAAGGTCATGATAAGCTGTATATTTCTGTGTAGAAGTTAAATTAATAGCAAAAATAAATTAATACAAAAAAATAATCTAACACATTCTAACTTTGTTATTATTTAATCAAGCAATAATGAACTGGGAATTTGCCCAGTATATTAAAAATACACTTAATAAATCCTATGTTATTCTTGTGGCTCTCTTCCACATCAGCATGTTTTGTGATTCTGTGAATTAAGCATTCAGATGTATGTAGATTGCATAGCAAAACAGTGAAATAATTGATTCATGTATGTGATTACTAGTGTGCCAATGAAAAACTCACCTTTTCTTGGAAGGGAGGAAGGCAGTGCAACTTTGACTTAGGACTTACACGGTAATTTAGTCCATGAACTGAGTAGAAAACTGTCTCAAACATACTGGGCATATGTTCTTTAGGAACAGAAAAATTTTGGATCATCTGACTGGCACTCAAATAAACACTGCATTTTAGTGTGAAAACGGAGAACAAATTTTAAATGTGGCAGTGTTGCCATCCCAAGTCACCCACTTCTGTATCTGTAGCTGTTTGTGGAGGCAACACAGTAAAGCATATCAGCAGCTCAATTTCATTAAAATTAACTGTTTTCCAGTGGATTTTTGCTAACTGAAGTAATTATCTGCACTCTGTGTGATGCGCTCCGAGCTATAAACTAGCATGTAGAAGTGATGCAGAAAGGCTGGAGGGGTGGAATGCCAGCAATAACTTCACTGGGTAGTGGCACTATATACTTGTCCCTGAGTCAAAACCTGAACATTTGTTCCCAGAGTAAATGGAAAACAAGTGTTAAAAAGACCTGTTCTAGGTAGATAAAAGAGCTTTGTAGTTGACTCTGAAAAGAACTTGACCATCTGCCAGAGACCCTGCCAGTGAACATGAGGAATCTTGCAATTGTTGGCTGTTCCATTTGTCAGAAAAAACATTGTTGTAGAGAATGTTGTGAAGATGTGTTTCTTCAGTCTGTGAAGTGGTTGCCTGAGAAAAGCCAGCTAGGCAAGAAGGGCTATAATGGAAAGCAAAAACACTCAAAAAACATTGAAATTATTAAGGCATAACATGCTAGGTTATGTGTATATTTTTTGTTTCTTAGGAAGTGACTTTCTGGGGTTTGCAAATACTACCTACTAATTATGCTGCAGTAGTTACCCTTGTCCTCCAGCTAACTAATTTCACTGTTCACCTTCAGTTTCAGTTTGCATGTGATTTCCTATTTCCCAGGTGCTGGAGCAGAGATTCCCCTGGAGCCTGTGGTGCAGATCATGGTGAAGCAGCTGTCCCTCAGTGGGGGTCCCTGGTGGAGCAAATATCCACTGTGGAGCAGGTATCCCAGGGAGCACCTCACCCTGGAGCAGGGGGATGCCCGAAGGAGCCTGTGACCCTATGGGAAGCCTGTGCTGGAGCAGGCTCCTGGCAGGACCTGTGGCCTCCTGGCAGGACCTGTGGACAGGAACCCACACTGGACAAAGTTTGCTGGCCCCATTATGGGACAGTGTGTCCCTTAAAGGCTGAACCCTGTGGAAGGGACCCACTCTGAAGCAGTTAATGAAGAACTGCAGCCCGTGGGGAGGATCCATGTTGGAGAAGTTCAAGAAGGACTGTCTCCTGTGGGAAGGACCCCATACTGGAGCAGGGGAAGAGTGTGAGGAGTCCTCCCCTGAGGAGGAAGGACTGGCAGAAAAATGTGAAGAACTGTCTGAAACCCCCATTCCCTGTCCCCTTGTTCTGCTGGAGGTGAGCAGGTGGAGAATTCACAAATGAAGATGAGCCTGGGATGATGTAGGGGTGGAGGGAAGGTGGATTTTAGATTTGTTTGTTTTTCTCATTGTACTACACTGATTTGATTGACAATAAACTAATTTCCCTAGGTTGACCCTGTTTTGCCCATGGCTGTAATTGCTGAATGATCTCCCTTGTCCTCATCTTTACCCAAGAGCTTTTAGTTGTATTTTCTGTCCAATGCCCAGGTGAGGAGGGGAGTGATAGAAAGACTTGTGGACACATAGTGTCCAGCTAGGCTCAACCCACCTCTGTCAGTAAAAAGACATTTTGTAAGTCCAGTCTTTGGATATGTGACAAGACGGCCTTTGTAATGTTATCCAGATAATCTGTAGTGATTTAAAATCCTTTTGTAGTTTCTGTATCACTAGTTTTATTATTTGATTAAAATCCAGCAGAGCATTAAGGATTAAATTTGTCTGAGGATGAATGATTTACAATTAGTTAGAAAAAATGAAGGTATTAAAGAATATGCCAGGTTAATTTATTTGACAAATGGGTGTAAAGCTACTTACACAAACATTTCAGAACACAGCAGCACCTGGTAGGTAATGAATTTTGTAGAAGAAATGAAAAACTTTATTAGTTGAGGACTGTAAAAACAATGCCAGGAGGTATAACTAAGCTCTATCTCACTTAGCGTGCAGGGGTTGACTTCCTCTGCACCCCACAGGTGTGCTGGGTCCCTCCAGTAGGTGACAGTCTGTAGGCCAAGGGATCCCTGGTAGGGAAGATATGCTATACTTTGCAGTTAGGACGCAGTGTGGTGGTATCCAGCCTGGGATTTGTACAATTAATTTGTATTACAATATCTGCTAATGCCAAGCTTTTAGCATTTTCCATTTTAATGTCAATAATACTACAGTTATGTTGATGTCTAGCTTTCTAAAACACTACATGTTCTTAATTTGTTTATGTTGGCACATTTGGGTGTGCTGGGTCCCTCCAGTAGGTGACAGTCTGTAGGCCAAGGGATCCCTGGTAGGGAAGATATGCTATACTTTGCAGTTAGGACGCAGTGTGGTGGTATCCAGCCTGGGATTTGTACAATTAATTTGTATTACAATATCTGCTAATGCCAAGCTTTTAGCATTTTAATGCCAATAATGCTACAGTTATGTTGATGTCTAGCTTTCTAAAACACTACATGTTCTTAATTTGTTGGCACATTTTTTATTTCACAGTAGTGTAGGAAACACCTAGTGATGACTGATTGAAGCCACTTGCTGTCTGAATTTGGTCATGATTTTGCTGTAACAACAGGATCAACAGCTTCACTTGCAGCACTGCAAATGTAAAGAAACAAACTGTTCCAAAAAGTCTAACTGTGCACATTTATGTCTGTGGGTATTGTTATGTCAGTAGGTTGGTGCATTTAATGATTGTGAAGTGTTTGTATGTTCCATACCCATTACTTTACCCAGATATTAATTGTGTTCCATGTATTTTGACAGCTGTTTAGCCATGAGGTGGTATTTTCATAGAAACATCTCTTTATATGGCATAATTTCAGGCCATGATAGTAATTACCTACTCTAGGTATACCACTGTATATGTTAAGCTGAAATTGTTTCTTCCCATACTTACCACTTTATGGTAATCTCTACTCAATTTTATCTGCCATTTTATTACCTGGACACTCAGTGAGTATCAATCACATCCTCTTGCCACGTGTTTTTACAGCTCTTCACATTTGGCCACCATTTTTAATTTACCTCAGTCATAAGTATACCTGCAAATATTGTCTGTGGTACCTACTTTGTCCTGGAAGGCCTTGGATTTGGCTTATGTAGTAAGAGTTTGAGAGAAGAGAGTGTACTGAGACAAGAAATCTTCAAGAAGTTCGGGCTCATGGGAGGAAAATGTTCCCCTTCCTTCTCCTTCCATGCAGGGCTGTAGCTATTTTTAGAAACAGAAGACCTCACAAGGCTCAAAGGGGCATGTCCAGATATTAGTGGTACCCTTCTCATGTCTTCCCTATATATTTGGATGTCTTCTGCAGTTAGAGAGACCTAATACATCAGCCTCCACATGTCATCTCCCTGAGCTCAATTGCCAGGAAAGTTTATTATCTAACTTCAGAAAAATTCCCTAGGAAAAAATCCCTAGGAAATCAGAGATTTCCCCATTCTGCTTGAGAATGCAGAATGCTATACTGACACTAGGTAGCAAAAGCTAAAGGCTAAGGCTATATATTAAAACCTGCTCTCAGTAAATTAAAAGTGAATTAGACTGTTTCATTTAATGAATGAAAAATGCCGTGGTTGGCTTGGGAATGATGCCCTCTCCCAAACAAGCACAAGGATGTGGAGTGCTCTCTTCCTCATCCAGCATGCAGGTTTCCTGGTTCCTTACTTACTCTTTGCACCAGCCTTCTCAGTTCTCTTCCCTTCTCACACAGAATTTATGCTGACCTTGTACAGAAAAGCTGATTCCTCATTCATCTTTTTCCCTTATCCATCAACAACTAACCCTAAACACTATGCCAAAGATTTCTAGTACTACAACTCCTCTTTCCTTTGGGGGCAGGAGCCCAGAGGGATTTTCCTGCCTCTTCATCTCAAGCAAGCACGGGTTGTTGTTTACTAAACCTGTCCATGTCCTCAGGCACATATTCCCAGACTCATGAGTTTTCTCTGGCTCCCTTCTGCCAAGCCTGCTGCATTCAGTGATTGATCTTGTATCTAATTTCACTAGTCACAGTTTTCCTTGGCAAAACTCTAAAGGGTCTTAATTTGCTGATGTCGTTTGTCTAGTTAATTATTGGGTTTGTGTTTTCTTTCATATGATTGATACCTCTGCCAGAATTGCCGTAGCTATTAACAGAATTGTGGTTATTTCATTAAAATACAGAATGCTGAAATATATGATGACATTCTGCTTTTGCCCCTAATTACTAAAGTATTTTATATACTTTCATATCATTTATAATTATGAAAAAGAGTTTGACAGCCAGATACAGTAAAAATTTGAAGGTATTCCAAAATCATATCAAAACCCAATGATGTTTTAATTTGAAACCTGAAATTACATGTCTAAGTTTGACAAGAAATACTTACTCACACACACAGCTGTAGGAACAGTGTAAAACATATATACGATTATACGAGCTCATGAAATTCCCCATACTCATTAATTTGTGTCTTTTTTTCAGCTATATGTGTTATAGCACAAAGACTTGACAAGATGTGAGCAAGTCTTAGTGTTGATGACTTTTAAAAGAAGAGCGTTTTTGCATGGCTAGAATCTGAAGTAGGATATATATCTAATATTGCAGATTTCTTTGTTACACTGTTCATTTATGTAAGAGCAGGTCAGACATGAATGACATTTATGTGGATTTTTTGCATTCTCCAAAATCATGAAGTAACAGGATAGGTCTATAAACTAAAGATTGCTGCTTAATTGTCTTTCTTTTGTCAGCTGGAAGTTATTACAATTCTGAAGTTTATGTAGACCTGTCACAATTTTTGTGCATAGGATTGTCTTGTACTGGAATTCCAGATCACTGGAAAACAAGGAAGCAAAAGAAATACAAACCTATCATGAGAAATACTGGATAAACAGAGGGAATGAAAGGAAGGCAGGAAGAAAATGAAAGGATGAAAGAAGAAAGAAAAGAGAGAAAGAGAGAAAGAGAGAAAGAGAGAAAGAGAGAAAGAGAGAAAGAGAGAAAGAAAGAAAGAAAGAAAGAAAATCTGCCATTTCTACTAAGCTAGCAAATATAACAGCTCAAAAGGCAATGTTCTTGCAACTTATTTGGATGCATGGTTTGATAAGGAGTATGACAGTACAAAACACCATCTTCTTTGTAACTGATATAGTGGAAAAAGGAATTTGTCTAAACAGCCACCCCCTCAAGTACTGGAATTTTTCTCCTCTTACTCTGTTTTTTCTTGCAGAGAAGTGTAAAGCAGTGGCGTGGGAAAACAGAATGATAAAATTTTAAGTGTATTTATTGTGAGATATTTAGTTTCAAGACATAATGTCTGATACATATTTTGAAAGTTATAGAACAGTGTGCATCCAATCTTCCTATAAAAGATAAAACTCTGGAAATCTTGGAGAGACAAATTCCACTTTAAATAAAAATCTGGATTACCATTCTCATTTACAAAAATTTTCATTACTATAGAATCCTAAAAAATTACAAAGGAAACATTAGGATCACAAAACTCAAGCTTACAGACTTTATTCTAAAAATCTTTGGGCTTTAATCCTTTAATTAAGGATTCATAATTATTTCCCCACAAGAACACAAGTATTACTTGGAGGATATATAGTCTAAAAAATTGTTGTTACCTTGCTGTTTGGGTTGATTTTTTTCTTAAAATTGATCAAAATAATTTATTCCTTAATCTATCTTCTAGTCCTAAAATGTTGATAGCTTTTTAAGAAATTACATTTCAAAATTATCTTTAATTATGCTTACAACCCAAATTCAGAAAAAAACCCCCTGTATTCTTCTCTAATTTTCATTGTAGGACAGTTGCAATAAAGTAGCTCATGATTAATTGCACCACAGTCAGAATGGGATTTACCTCCTCTAAATTTAGCCCCCTAAGAGTTTGGCAAGTGTGGAGTATTCCAAAAAGGTAACTTTAGCCACCCAAGCTAATCTTTTTAGGCTCCCTCTGTAGTTTTCAACAGATTCAGAGCCAAAAATCCTAACTGCTCTGCACTGAGCCTTGAAAGCCTAAGTAAATGCTCCTCCTTTGTCTGACATGCCTTACTTGCCTTCACTCTAGTCATAAAATTTCCTTTGATAGCTCCTAGAAAAAAAAAGCATCTCACCTTAAAACAGGTGGAGTGGACAAAGCTACAGAACATTGTGAGCTTGTAGACTGAGTTGCTTTTTTTCCTCCGTTGCTAAATACAGTTTCTGGAGAAAAATCATAGAAAGACAATTAACTTAGGGAAAGATACAGACATTTTGAGTCAGAGGTAGTGAAAGCTTTGAAGTAACTTACATCTAAGTCTTTCAGAAAGAAATCCAAATTGGATCCCTGGAACGCATGGAAGAAAATAATTTGCAATTACTTTTACCCTGGTCCTGTCTCAACTGAAATCAATAAACAAATGGACACGTATCAGGTTAAAGGTTGGTCTGAAGGTTTAGTTTAACTAAAATAGCTGACTTAGAACAATGAGCAGAATGAACAACAGCAACAGTAAGGCATCTCATTTTTAGCACTTATTCCTTTACATTGATATTGATACACTGAATGCATTAAGGTGTTAACAAAAACAGTCAACAAAATGAGGCAAGATAGGTCATTAGTTTTTAAATAAATGCTTCTTCACACAATTATTTTATTATGTTCTTTTTTAAGAAACCCATTATGGTAGTATTGATTCAGTTATTTTAAAATTTTTATGCAAACTGCAATTTATGACTTACTAGCTATATAAATTTTGTGGGCTCATACTCTATGTTGTTAATACTATCATGATGCCAATCTGTGTGCAATTTAATTTGTAAATAATGCACTGGAAAAAAATGAGAGCTATGATAACAATGGGCTGTGAGAGAAATAGCTCAAATGGCAATTTTTCCTTGGCATATGTTTTAATGGGTTTATATTGTGTGGAGCTTAGGTCAATTGAATGTAAAATCAGATTCTTGCTATTAGTTCTTTCTTATTGAATGGGTATAAGCAATGCAGAGTAAAAATTAATGAAGCTTCATATATTCTCCCTTAGCAACTATGCCTGGTGCTATGATAGGGCTACTAGTTGTGGGTTTGTTCAGCTGATTTCCAGCATGTTCACGGATGCTTTGGGCTGAATTAAAGTCTCAACAATGAGGCTTGCAGCTGTTTCTGTAAGCTTGTGAATGCCCAAATTGTTAATTAATACCTAGAGTAGATCATATGGCTATCACCTATTTATTAAAATAAGCTTTTTTTTTTTCTGTAAAGATAGTCCTAGACTCTGTTTTTCACCTTTTCTGCCATATGACAGCAGTTGTGACTATCCCACAAAAATTATCCTCTACAGGACTTTCTCTAAGGGTTTGTTCAGCTGATTTCCAGCATGTTCACGGATGCTTTGGGCTGAATTAAAGTCTCAACAATGAGGCTTGCAGCTGTTTCTGTAAGCTTGTGAATGCCCAAATTGTTAATTAATACCTAGAGTAGATCATATGGCTATCACCTATTTATTAAAATAAGCTTTTTTTTTTCTGTAAAGATAGTTCTAGACTCTGTTTTTCACCTTTTCTACCATATGACAGCTGTTTTGACTATCCCACAAAATTATCCTCTACAGGACTTTCTCTACTTTCCTACCTTCAGGAGAAATGAAAATCTCTGTTTGATCTTTATGAAATTATTCTGCCTATAGATAAGGACCTGATCACTCTCTTTATCAATCAGCAATTCTTGAAACTTGCTGACATTTCATCAAACACAATAAGAGATTCATCAAGTAAAATACTTTAAAGAGGAGACAGTGGTGAGGGATTTTGAAAACCCAGTGGGTTCTGTTGTGGGGTCTCCATCCCGTGAGATGGATTGGATTGACTTCAGAATTACAAAGCACAAAACTTAATTTTGCAATTGTGTAATAGCACTGCATATGAAATCCAGGAAGCTATTTAAGACTAGCTAAATTGATTTTAGGGCTTTAGCTAATGACTGTAACTAGGGACTAAAATCAACATGGGTAGAAAGGTCTCTGCCAACAGTTTGAATCTCACTGTTATGTGCTAGGAATGAAAGGAGAATAATAAGGTTTTGTCTGAACCAAATTAATTTTCTATTAACAGGGTTAAAAAATGAATCTTTGTTCTTTTAACTGCTTGAACCAAATTAATTTTCTATTAACAGGGTTAATCTTTGTTCTTTTAACTGCAGTGATTTGATTAGCATTTTTTGAATTGTGACTAAACCATGTCATATTTTTAGCCCACTGATGTTTTGAATCAAAATTAGTTAAAACCTTGATTTTTAAAATTGTCTTAATTTCTACATAGACAACTGACATTTTTAGGACTTCAAATCTAAGCAATAATTTCAGTTTTGTAATGTTTGCTTCTTGCAAAACAATGGAATTTGACTTCTCCAAATATTAGCAGAACTGATTTGTTCCTTGGATAGCAGAATTGAAAAATAAAAACTACATAAATTAACAGAGGTATATAAGCTTGGCACACTCTACAAATTAAAACCTTTATCCGGCTGTATTTCACACTTTTAGTAATTTATAATGCTAATTAATAATTATATCTTTTGAGAATTATGTCTTAGAATTTTAAAAATCTTTTGTTGAAGGAAAATATGAATATTTCATATAAGGAGAAATTTTCCTGTAGTCATCTCAAAAAAGACTCATTCTAGAATTAATAAATGAGACTCACCAGTCATGATTCTGTATGTTTTACAGAAAAGAGCTGATTCAGTGGAACTGAGTGCAGTGTTTCCCATTCTTTCTGGCAAGTGGAAGAATAAAGAAGTAAGGAATGAATCAGGATCACACCATGGGAATACCATAATATTTTTCTAATTAACTCCATTCAAGAAACTCTTAACCGAATATTTTAGAGTTAAGATAATAATGCTTCTAAGCAGCAATGCAATTTGCAGAAGTCAACAAAGCATGACCATGATAATGTAAAGAAAAATTCAAAGACAGTGAATTTTCCCATTAGTTATATCTTATTCCCCTAGGATTTTATTTTCTGTGCTTTAGTTTTTAACCTCAGAGTCATATTCATGTATTATTAAATCACTAACAACTGTTGTTTAAAAATCTTGGCTTCCTGAGCCCAGTTAATAATCCAGATGAGTAGTCTACCTCCCTAGGGGAACTTTCCTATGTAGAAGCTGGTATGACCTCCACTCAAGACATTTGCACACATAATTATATTTTTGATGGGCTCTGCTTGTACACATAATTTGAAAATAATTTGTAGTGAATTTTGTCTGGAAATTTGACCCATTACTTTTGCTTCTTTACTTTTACATCACCCATTTTAGTACATAAATAATACATTTTTTTGCCACGGGATACTCAAATAAATCAAATAACTAGTAAGTTATGCACTTGGCATCCTTACAGACAGCATATGCTTGCATTATTTGGCAGAAGGCAAAAGTACACGTATGTATTGTGAGCAACATTTCATATCTGTGAATAGTTAAGCTAAGAGAACAGTGGTTATGCTGTTCCAGGCCTGTGTAACCACACATTTTGGAATGCTTGAATGAATTGCTGAATGAACTTCAGTGGCTATTACATTTATGAGGTTTACAGAGGGCACATGCCCCTTCCTAAATATTGGTAGCTGCCACATCCCCATTTGGACCTTTAACAGGTTCCAGGAAGCAATGCAAATTAGTCCTTAAGTAAACAGTATGATCAGTTGAAAATTTTGACATATTGAAATCTCTGGTCACGTGCAAAATCCCAAGCCAGCCCGACTGGGCCTTTCCTTTTTAATTCCTCCCCTGCAGTTTGACAGATCTTGCAGGAAAAGTGCAGAAGAGTTGATGGAGTCACTGACAACTCTGTAACTTTGCTCAGCCATTCTGAAGTTCAAACAGTCCACCACAGGCTGGAGTAAAATCTTCCTGGGTTTGAGAAAAAGGGGTAAATAACTGGAACAAGGAATTACAATGAGATTGAAGAAGTTCTAAGCAACTTGGGACCTTCTTTCTCTGGAAGAGTTTTATATTATCCTAGAGAACTCCCTTTTATTGTGCGGTTAGCAACTGGGAAGCCTTTCTGCTGGCTGGCTGCTTATTTAACTTGGAAAGCCAAAGTAATTTTGTTCTGTAGTAAGTGTTTAAATCAGGCATGTATTCTTCAGCATTTATTTCCAAAGGAAATCAAGGGACCAGCTATTTCCAAATATTTCTGGCATGCTACTGTTCTTTTTCTAATTCATGTGACTACAAATGGTGGCTTCCTACTTTTACTCAGCACTGACTGTCAAAGCATAAGGAAGTACAAAGCTGATACACTGTAAATGAACTCTCTTTTTTTAAAAGCTCAGAGATAATTGAAATACAGAACAATATCATGAACAGTTCTGAACATGGGAAAATATAATGCTTTCTGGAACCAAGGTATCTTTTGTGCTCTGAGATAAAGCTGCTGAACTACCTTAATATGCTTAAACAGAAACTGATTGAAGACTGTAGCTTGAATGCCAGTTTTCAAATGAGGATATATTTTTAGATGCAGTTCATGAATTGCTAAACCCAGGATTTTCAAGTGGAAGTGCAGAGCTGTTGCTGCAACCGCGTGCTAACAGTAATTGTGATTAAAACAGAGCAGGTAATGGCACAAGCAGAGCAACTGCATATATTTAGATTTCTTCCAAAACCTGTATTGCGACAACTGAAGTAATACATGTGCACATGTATTTCATCCCATGCTGCAAAAATTAATCTATTATTTGTGTTATAATTGCTTATGTAATCTCCATCTCAAACCAGGAGTCTACAGTCATCTGCTGATATATATTGTAAATGGCATACAGACAGAAAGGAGAGTAGAAAGAGATAATAAAATAATGATGCTCTGCATTATTGGTTTTGGTTGGTTTCGGCTCGTCAATAGCCTAAATGTGATAAGTCTTCTTTGTCTGTTACAGAAAGGGAGAGCTTTAAGGAAGCATTTGAAGGGGCCTTATGAAGTAAAAGAGAAACTTCTTTTGAAGTGAAAAGAAGAGAGCCAACAGCAGAAGCAGGTGAACACCACCAGGCGAGGTGTTTGCTCCAACACCATGTGTGGAAAGCACTGGATGATGCTACAGGCAGTGAGAGGAGTTGGCATCATGATAACAAGCAGCACCTTAATGAGTAGAAAATGGGGAACCATAAGCCACAGGTGAAGACACTTAGCTTATGCTTGCTGTGGTGGGGAAGTATTATAACCTGAGCAGTCCCACAATTTCTGGTAGTAATCTGAATGTATGCAATTGTTAGCCTCTCCTGCAAGCAAGGTGAGGTTTGTAGAAATACAAGATGCAGGCAAACCCCTTCTTAGTGAGTTTTGACAAAACACACAGCTAAGGAGGAGTTGGTAACTGAGTCGCATGTAGTTTTTAGTTTAAAAATCTTGGCTGAGCAAAAGTATGTGGATGGGTGATAATTCTGAAGAGTATCAGTTTTCCATTACAA